AATTATTGCTAAAAATCTGCATTAATCATGCGTCTATTGTAACGTAGCCATTGCATGCTCCTTCAGTTAATATCGTCGTAGTCTTAGGCTCATGAATTTCATACTATTTGTATATTAACTTATTTTGCGTGGATAAATACGTGTTGTTTGCGAAAAGTCACTGATTTCCCATGTGAGCCAGATATGCAATGTATAATCACTGATGATGGCTTCATTAAGCCAAACGCATTTTCCAAACAAATAAATAAATATCCAATAACTCTGATAAAAGTTTCTATTCTTTTTTTTTCCTTTTGTGCTTGGTACTAAATGTTATGAAGGATTTTCTTGATTTCCTTTCTCTGTTTCTTCGTTTTAACTTCTTTCCTTTCGTTATTTCGCAATATTTTTGTATTCCTTCGTTTGTTTCTTTTAAATTTCCATTTCATTCTTTTCGCCGGCCATTTTGTAGTGACTTATAAGATGGCCGCCATCATTATGCTCTGTGAAAGCCACAACTCCTTAACACTGCCATCTTTTCAGAACACAAGGTAGTCACACTAGACTCACGTTTATCAAACAACTGTTTCAATGCGGCTATATCTCCAGATATCTGGTGATTAAGGAGATCTTTCAAGGGCAGAAGCACTTCAAAAGGTGTGCTCTGAATGTACAGTTAACAGATCTGTGGAGCAGTGGCCAGTTGGGGAAATCCATTGCTTCGAGTTGTTGTAGAACTATCGAAAATCATTTAATACCTTCATTACCTTTTACCACCCACAGCCGTGGTTGCTAACTTCACGCAAAGGAAGTACTTTGCAGTTCAAAGGATTCGTAATATTGAAGCGATCTGCTGTCAACAACTGAACTAATAATTTACACAGCGCCTTGCGGCATGTTTCAAAAACTCTCTCTTTGAAATTTACTAGGGAGAGAGACAGGAAATGCTTGGCGATTTAGTGTAATTATATATTACAAAATGCATTTAAAGAACATAAATCTTTATTCAGCCACGACTGTGTAGTTTCTTTTTCTATGGCTTTGAAAAGAAAATTCTGTATTTGAATTACGTAAATACAAAGTTTAGTACAACGCAGAAGGAACAATGAATGAGACTTTACAAGGGTTTTAGAAATCTGTAAGCTGCTATTGTTTATTAGAGTCGACAATAATAATTAAATATAAATTCAAATCTGTGTTGTGTAATACAGGGCGTTCTGTAGACGTGGACGAACAGTGGTCATGACGAGTTTACCAACTCGACTAATAAAATTACGCTCTCATTCAGCTCCTACCGGTAACCGTATTCTCGAAGTACTTAAACTTACTTCACAAGGCTACATTTCATAGTTTACGTAATCTTTCCTGTCTCAGAAGTCAAATTCACAAACCATGTAACAATTTAAAATGCACGGAACCTCACGACCTAGTGGTTAGCCCCCTGCTTTTTTACTTCGATGGTTCCTGTTTCGGTTCTTGAAAGGCATTCTAAAAGCAAATTTAATCCAACCTATCAAATGCACCGTCTGTTAACAACTAACCATCTAATCCAATCTAACCTAACCTAACCTAACTCAACCTAAACTAACCTAACTCAACCTAACCCAACCTAATCTAACCTAACCCAACTTAATCTAACCTAATCTAACCTAACTTAATCTAACCTAACCCAACCTAATCTAACCTAACCCAACTTAATCTAACCTAATCTAACCTAACTTAATCTAACCTAACCCAACCTAATCTAACCTAACCCAACTTAATCTAACCTAATCTAACCTAACTTAATCTAACCTAACCCAACCTAATCTAACCTAACCCAACTTAATCTAACCTAATCTAACCTAACTTAATCTAACCTAACCCAACCTAATCTAACCTAACCCAACTTAATCTAACCTAATCTAACCTAACTTAATCTAACCTAACCCAACCTAATCTAACCTAACCCAACTTAATCTAACCTAATCTAACCTAACTTAATCTAACCTAACCCAACCTAATCTAACCTAACCCAACTTAATCTAACCTAATCTAACCTAACTTAATCTAACCTAACCCAACCTAATCTAACCTAAACTAACCCAACCCAACCCAACCTAACCATCTAACTGCATGGTACAAAGTCCTCCTTGAGAATCTGATATTAGTCTCACCTAACCAAAAATTACATGTATTGTACTGAACACAAAGGCTCATTACAGTATTCACAAAATCTCGCAATCGGTCCCAATCTTGGATCATACGAACCCAATCCACACCCTCAAAATCTTTTTGTTCCTTAAGATCCATTTTAATAGTATCCTCCCATCTATGCCTAGGTCTGTCAGAGTGGTCCCTTCCCGTCAGGCTTCCCAGCCTACATTTTGCACACCTCTCCTCTGCGTTCACCAAACCTGAAGACGAGGACAGATCCAGTCCTCGAAGGGTGGAGTAATTTTATAACATCAGACGATGGATACAGTCCAAAAAGATGGCTGCCTTCTGCCATCACATTTGAATATCAATTTTATTAGTGTTTGTGAAGTGATTATGCCTGGTGGCATGTTAGTGCATATCGACCGCCAATTCTAAATTTGTGGTGGTAGAAATTTCGGATATTTTGAACGTCAAATTTTGTTCTCGCAAGTATTTTAAGTAAATGTTGAATTACGTATATAAGAATTCCGATCAAAATATAGGTAATTGATATTTATGAATAAATATGCAAGTCTAGTATTTGTAAACAAATTATTCACAAGTTAAAAACTAACATTTTAATAAATTAAATAAAGAAACCTGGAATTAGCACTCTGCTCGAAACAAAAATAAAAAATATAAGAACAATAATTAATAAAAGAACCAGAAGTTTTACAATGAATACAATTTTCAGGGACTACAATTCAATTTACGACGTCAAAAACCATTTGTTAGACCGATTCAATATACCATCTCAAAACCGCTTCAAACACTGAAGTGTCTGCAAAGAGATTTCCCACGAAATTTCTGTTTGCATTTTATGTTTCTCAGTCCAAGTAAGACGGGAACTCTCCTGCGGACATTTTAAATACGTAACGTAAATAAATATTTATACATGTACTTTTAAAGATATTTGTAAGTGCAGACATGAAAAGTCTTTAAATTAAATGTAAAATCGTAAGGAAAAAGAAAATTTGCAAGCGTTTTAGTTTCAACTGTGTCCTACCACGCCAGGTAATCGCTGAAAAGGATTGATTAAGCTGTAGACAGAAAGAATTCTGTACGCCACGAACAGTAGATAAATCAGACCAGAAGTGGCTAGACGGCGGACAACTGCTATAGTAAGGACCAGAGCACTTGCGAGTTATTGGCGAGGGGGTGAGGAGCAAGGTTATAAGCACTAACCTAAACTAACCCAACCCAACCCAACCTAACCATCTAACTGCATGGTACAAAGTCCTCCTTGAGAATCTGATATTAGTCTCACCTAACCAAAAATTACATGTATTGTACTGAACACAAAGGCTCATTACAGTATTCACAAAATCTCGCAATCGGTCCCAATCTTGGATCATACGAACCCAATCCACACCCTCAAAATCTTTTTGTTCCTTAAGATCCATTTTAATAGTATCCTCCCATCTATGCCTAGGTCTGTCAGAGTGGTCCCTTCCCGTCAGGCTTCCCAGCCTACATTTTGCACACCTCTCCTCTGCGTTCACCAAACCTGAAGACGAGGACAGATCCAGTCCTCGAAGGGTGGAGTAATTTTATAACATCAGACGATGGATACAGTCCAAAAAGATGGCTGCCTTCTGCCATCACATTTGAATATCAATTTTATTAGTGTTTGTGAAGTGATTATGCCTGGTGGCATGTTAGTGCATATCGACCGCCAATTCTAAATTTGTGGTGGTAGAAATTTCGGATATTTTGAACGTCAAATTTTGTTCTCGCAAGTATTTTAAGTAAATGTTGAATTACGTATATAAGAATTCCGATCAAAATATAGGTAATTGATATTTATGAATAAATATGCAAGTCTAGTATTTGTAAACAAATTATTCACAAGTTAAAAACTAACATTTTAATAAATTAAATAAAGAAACCTGGAATTAGCACTCTGCTCGAAACAAAAATAAAAAATATAAGAACAATAATTAATAAAAGAACCAGAAGTTTTACAATGAATACAATTTTCAGGGACTACAATTCAATTTACGACGTCAAAAACCATTTGTTAGACCGATTCAATATACCATCTCAAAACCGCTTCAAACACTGAAGTGTCTGCAAAGAGATTTCCCACGAAATTTCTGTTTGCATTTTATGTTTCTCAGTCCAAGTAAGACGGGAACTCTCCTGCGGACATTTTAAATACGTAACGTAAATAAATATTTATACATGTACTTTTAAAGATATTTGTAAGTGCAGACATGAAAAGTCTTTAAATTAAATGTAAAATCGTAAGGAAAAAGAAAATTTGCAAGCGTTTTAGTTTCAACTGTGTCCTACCACGCCAGGTAATCGCTGAAAAGGATTGATTAAGCTGTAGACAGAAAGAATTCTGTACGCCACGAACAGTAGATAAATCAGACCAGAAGTGGCTAGACGGCGGACAACTGCTATAGTAAGGACCAGAGCACTTGCGAGTTATTGGCGAGGGGGTGAGGAGCAAGGTTATAAGCACTGCGCGCGCATCTCCACGCTTTCTACCAGGCCGTTCCGTGCACCGACCGGGCCGTGCCGAGTGCAACTATCCACATCACTAGCGAGCTCAGTTAACACGTAATCCGGTCCCTACTGTATCTCCGTAACTTCGAAGTTCGGCAAAAACGTGATGCATTATGGGGTTCACACCCTATTTGCTTGTTATGTTGGCAACTAAAACTGACGTGAAGGGTTTCGGACTCCATTTATTACAATTGTCACTCAAATTCGAATGTAGGGTTCCAGATCCTATGAATGTATTCTATTAGCTATTGACTTTGGAATTAATTACATCAGACCTCGCCCATTTCATGCGTTGATTACTCAATTCATTTGTTGTACTTGCTACTTACTTTGCGACGAAGGGTTTCAGGGATGACAACCCAAGCCTGCTAATGGCGAGTCTCAATTTCTGATCCTCTTCAAGGACGAATAGGTTATCCCTGCTTATGTAGTACTCCGCCACCTGAACAAAATAGTTCACCTCAGACCGATGCATGTTGTATGTCTGATCCTTATAATACGAGAATGGTCAATTACGTAGTTCAACTCACGAACGGAACTGCCACAAAAGAGGATCATTTAAAGTAAATTAATATTGATTTAATATATTTTATAGTGACATCAAAGTTTTTCGTACATTATTATTAATTAATTCAGGGAATGTATCATATACACACCGATTGGTGTTTTAAGGTTATGTTACTTATTACGCCAAATAGACAGAATCTGGTTCGACTACTCACGCCTGGTTATAAGTACAGCAAATGTAAAAGGCAAATGTTTCTACTAGGTGTAACAGGACTTCAGTTTCGGTCAAAATAGCCGTGTTATTTAATATATGCACTACTTTTTGTGTTGGGCTTTTGTATAAACAGTAAAGGAATTTAACAACAGATCATCAGCGTAAGACAGAATGTTCTGTTTTCCCTACCCTTTTCCTAATAAGATTAGATGCAAAAATATGTTTGATGATGTTAAAAACTTTAAGCTTTTTATATATATATAATTCAGAATAACACTCTGACATTAAGTTCCAAGTTCAAAACTGAAATGTTGCAAACCGATGAATGAAATACCCTGTGATGTCACGTCCAGGAACAGAAGACACTAGGTGAAAGCTAAATTGTATATAAAATACTCAGCAAATGGGCCTCGGGATACAGAAATGGAGATGGAATGATTTTTTTCTGATTGATTACGTTATCATCGCAAGGTAAATGCTTAAGTCAATACAAATTACGTGGGACTTATGCCCTTGTTACGAAGCGCCGATATACCATCGTATGAGACGGCGAACGGCCACGTAAGGATCTAGAAGGGAGTGGCAGTGTCTTTATTTACGAAATTATTCCGATACTGAACTGACAAAAACCACAAAACGCCTCTGGTAGGGCGAGCGGTAATCCTGTTGAGATTCTAAAAGAGTGTCTCGAATTGCTTTCACACGTGAGCCGCTCAACTGAGCGGCTCGCTGAGCCGATATGCAGCTCATGTTGGAGCCGAAATGAAACCCTTCGCTAGAGTTACCAACTTCACTCAGTCCCTCCAACAACACATTTTCAGTGTATTAGCAGCGTTCATCAAATCATGTTAGAACTTGAAGTAGAAGGTTGCTTTGATTGTATTGGCTTTACAAACGCGAAGAAAGCGTATAAATAGGAGAATATGGGTGCATCCTATCGTTGTTACATTAATGTAAGCAAAGTATTCAATTTTCACAACACTACGTATTTTATTTCAAAACAAATAATTGTCAAAGAATAAAATTAACAAATTATTATTCCGGATTAAAAACTCTACAGTTTAGTTCTCACATCTCCAAACAGCTAGACGTGGCGCTGAAAATGATGCTAATGATGATCTGATTCAACACATTATAAGAAATAATAATATTTTATAGTAGAGTAATTATAAATGACTAATAAATATTACCTATTACAAGCAACTTACTGAAGTTTTTTATTTCCCACAATGTTCCTCTCACGTATAAAGACGTTGGCTAGACTGGCTTGATCTGCAGCTCACTGAGCCACGTGTGAAAACAGTCTAAGAGTTTTGATAAAATATCCTCTCTTCCTGTCCCTTTATCTCTGACATAAACAAAATCATCTTCCGCCCATCGCATGATTGGAGGAAGACCGGTGCACATACACGCCAATTTGGTGCGCATTCACAAGAAGTAGTGCCATTATTTAACTATCACTTCTCTACTGAAAATTGGTCAGGACGACTGTTAACCCTTTGAAGCCGAAGATCGTCTGAATATTATTTATGAATTCAGTCCGTACCGCGAAGAAAACACTTCACTTAACCATTAGAAGTCGAATCAGGCGGTACCACATAAGATTTAACAAAAGAACATCCCGGTCGAAGCCTTAAACAAAGAACCACAGCACTTGCGAGTTCTTGGCGCGGGGGTGAGGAGCAAGGTTATAAGCACTGCGCGCGCACCTCCACGCTTTTTCCACCCGGCCGTTCCGTGCATCGACCGGGCCGTACCGAGTGCAACTATCCACATCACTAGCGAGCTCAGCTAACAAATAAACCGGTCCCTACTGTAATACGTACTTTTAACGAAATTATAGTATATTATAGTAAATATTATAAATAGGTATTGTGAGGTTCGCTACAGACCTGGAGGAGAGACGTAAGTGGTACAAGACCGACGATCTCGGAGCCGACGACGGGCAGGTTCAAGGCGGCCGCGTCCTTGCACACCTGCTCGTACGCCACGTGTATGGGCGTGACGTCATGGTCGGTGAGATTCATAGACACCTGCGCCATGTTGGCCTCCTCCAGCCACCAGCCTTTAGCCTGTACGGCAGGCAGCCTGCCCGACTCCGCTGTACTGCGGCCTTGTTCACGGATCTTCAGGGCGATCCTGGTTCACAAAACACTGCACCTGAACTCGTGAACATTGAGTAGCATCTGAGCATAAAGTTTGTGTTTGCTGCCACACGATGCTCAGATCAAGGACGATGAGAACGGCGGGGAATGTAGAATTCACGGGGAAAATTATTTCATGCAAAGTTTTGGTTGGTAAACCTGAACGGAAGAGACCATTTTGAAGAACTGGGTACATGGGATTAAAATAAATAAAGTAAGATTTTTTTTCTGTATTCTGGGGGAAAATGTGGAATCTTATGAAGACGGTAATGAACCTACACGTTCCATAAAATTCTGAACGACTATCAGCTTCTCAAGGACTCTGCTCCATGGAGTGAGTTTTACCACACGACCCACTGCATTCTCTGAAATGAAATCTCGTTATATCTGGGGGGGTTTTAGACGATACTACAAGACAACCGAGCGGCCGAATGTGCTCAGCGGGTAGCCTACCATCCAGTCTTCATTCTGCTCTCTGCTTTCTTCGCTGAGGTTTCGGTATCCCTCAGTCCAGTAAGTTTCGCGTTGCAGGGGAAGGGGGGGGGGTCGCGCAACCTGAGGCAATGCCGCCAACCTAATTATCTTTCAAACGATTTGAATTGAGCGCGCTCTGCTGACAACGACATCTCTGGTGAGGAAATACAAACAGTGTAGACCTGTTACGGTGGTTCAACTCTCATTGTAGGCAGGATCGTACTTACACTTCTCGGGGTCTCCTTTAAAGATACCAGAGTATAAAAAAACACTTGTATATATAAATATAATCAGAAAAAAATACTGAACTAAACTCTGTGTCGCAACAGCCCCTGAGGGTATGATGACCAGCCATACGGCTTTGGCGGGACATCACGTGGTCAGCGCACTATCCAGGGCACATGACAGAATTACCTCGTATATCGGGGCAATTCCACCAAATGTGCTTTTGCAAAATGTTGTAAAATAATTACACGCAGAGCAGAAATTAATACAAAATTCTCCATGTGTTGTATCCATGACGAATTGCTCTCTAAGACTCGGCGTTCAGTTTTTATAACCGATTTTCAAAAAGCACGAAAATTTAATTTTCCCTTAGGGTGACGCGATTTCCCCCCCTCCTCACTTCCCCTACATGGGGCGGACGAAGCGAACTTCATATCCGCTCCGAGGGGCCTCTCTTCGTTTGACTTCTGTCCGAAAGTGTTCACGTCTTCACAGCCAAAGCTACAGCAGATCCTCGTCAGACATTTCAGCCTGAGTGTATATGTTACCGGCAATGTACAGAATACCTAAAGTCAGTAGGCAAAGTATGGAATAAATCGTAATGTTAATATTGTTTGGTTGTGTAAATTAAAATTAATCAAAATCGATTGGGTAAGCTGTCATGATGGAGGTTGTGCGAGATAGTCGCGAAAACATGAACCTAACAAAAGTTTTGAGAATTAAGAAAAATTGCTTTATATACTAACCTAACCTAACAAAAGTTTTCAGAATTAAAACAAAACAAAACTGTAAAAATCGTATTATAGAAACTTCTTTGTACATAATTACGAGGTGGCTGGCCGGTCTTTCGCCTTACTTGGATAGTCTATTACTTTAAATGCGATTGAATTCATCTGGCTCATTATACGTATCTGTGGCGCACTCGTGGGAACACTATAATAAACGTTCCGGGTCCTTACAACAAGACTTATTTCTTGGTTAGATACGCGGAACCTCAGCTTCAGATCAACTGTAGATGGTTTCCATCATGGCCGCGTCTCTGTCGAGAATTGGACTGTGGTCGACTGAGATATCCGCCTCCCTAACTGGTATCAAGCAGTTTCCTGCGCGCGCATAACCTCACCTGTGCGCTTGTTCCTTAGTAGAGATCAGATTCACGTTGTAAGCGATGAGAAAATTCCTGACACCCACCATGGTGGCTCCCCACCGCGGCACAAACTTCGAGGAACCGAAGTCTGGCTTCCAGTTTTCATCCTCGATCTGCGAACATAATCGACTTATTGACCTAATAACTACGTAACTGGCATCCATTTTAAGTCTAAACTGCGCATGACCACGTAAGACGCCATGAGCCTTGAAGCACGATACTCACACAGAGTTATTAATAATAGTGAACTATCTAGCAGAAGTGTGACGGACGGAAGTCCTCGACTCAAGAAATTTCGTGATAGACTGTGCAAAATTTTACGACGCTTTATTTTTCGATAATATTATTAAAAATAAGTTATAAAATTTTACAAGGTCAGTATACTATTAAAGTTAATCACAAGAACGGAAGGATTTCAGTACACAAGTTTCCAATTTGACTTTGGTTGTCTGATCTGAAGTACTACCTGTGATTTCTAAGTTCCTTCCCTGCTCCCCAACAAAGTTACGCCATCCCAAACATTATTAATCCTTTGCTCTTAACACCGCTGGGGCCCAAACTACTTACTCATTCCAGTTATCTCACACCTCCAGAACACGAATTATAAGCCAGCATCAATCACGAAACTCATCACTAACGAGCAAGATGGCGCGCAAGTTCTGTAGAACGACTACAAAAGAATGGCGCCCAATCGAGATACTAATTAATCGATTACAGTCCGATTCGATAGCAACGTAAACTTTACTTCGCTCTTCCTTGGATCTCTACGATTTGTTCCATTGAAATCACAAACGGACACACAGACGGCATGATGATCTTTCAGCCCACATTATTTCTTTGAAAGTTAAACCTAACCTAAAAATGCGTAATAAAATCTACTGTATGCTTACGATTTTTTTTGCATCCCGCACCAAACTGCAGGCTTCAAGGTCACAACAAATTCTTACAACGTTGTAACACAGCTTAAAATCGCAACGACTACTACAGTTCGAACAAAGTCAATTATTTTGTGCGGTTTTTATCGTACGGACGGATGGACGGACATGACAACAGTAATGGACTTTTTTTCTTCAAATTTTCTTCCTATGAAACGATCTAAGAATGGGGCTGTGGTGTGGATTTGAAGGTAGATGCCAACGTTTCGGAGGAACATACTGTCTCCGTCTTCAGGGCGACATTTAGGGTTGTTACAGTTCAATGAAGATGAGAAGGGCACGACATGAAATACTGGAAATTTTATGCTGGAAATCTGAGGGGAAAGACATGTTTGGGCACGTGGCGCAGATGGTAGGATAATATTAATATGTATCTTACAAAAACAGGATGTGTGTGAACTGACACAGTAATGAAACCTTAGGTTCAAAACAAATCAGGGATTTCCTTGACCTGTTAAGTGACACGAAAAGTAATGACGTCTGGGTATGATTTAGATCTAAAATGATAAATATAGTTCACTGTTCTATAAAATTAAAGTTTCACGTATAAACCACCCAGTAGAAATTTCGAATTCCTATGTAATCTCAGTCTCTATTTTCATCATATAACCATTCAACAATCGTATTTCAAAACCCACATCACCGACCACCATTAAAAGTTGCATGCCAGCTCACTCTGTTGGGTAGACCCTCGTACTCTCCAGCTCTGATCTGAGCTACAGTTTTCCTGTATGCCTGTGAGGCGGCAGCACCATACAGGTACACTGGAACGTCAAGTTCACTCGCCAGCAAGCGGCCTAGTTCATTGGCACAGAAGACGCATTGTTCCTCTGTGACGCCACGCACTGGGATGAAGGGACAGACGTCCATCGCCCCAAGTCGGGGGTGCTCCCCTGTAACATCGTTATTAACCCTACATAAATGTAGAGCTCCTGAGAACACAATGACGTCACCCTTCACATTCATTCAAATTCGTAATTCATATGCAGTTTTCGCCTTCACACAGCGTGTACAAATCAGTTCAAGATGAGTTTCCGTTGTGCAGAGCCAAGGTCATGTTACCTTGACCTAGAAAATACGAAATATCTGGAAGCCTCGTGTAGTCTGGACAGTATACCCGATTAAGTTTCTTTTTTATACTTTAAATAGGTTTCTTAGTGAAAAGTGTGTACAAAGTACTTTTTATGTTAAGAAACGTACTAAAGATTAATTTTTAACATAAAAGAACATCGGTGAACAATTAAAATTCCTCTAAACGCGAAGTGAAAACACAACATCTGGCTTACAATTTTGAAGGTTACGGAATAGGTCAGGAGAAAAATTTGTAAACAAACGAACGCACATCTAACGGTTCGTTTCAAATCTCGGATCACGGAATGGATGCTAATAAATATATTGTTAAAACGAATACGTTCTTGTTTTTAACATGTGTCATTTTTAATATTATGAACAAAAATAAATAAATAAAGTACAATCAAAATCATCGCTGGTGTTTACGAATCCTGCTTCATATGTTGGCATTCTGCCAAGCGATAGACTGGCCTCGACCGGTTGTGACTCTGACATATTTATGTATCCGAGAAATCGTGCTGTAGCTTACTGCGAACAAGCTAACACTCTGAACGAGTGTTGTCTCTTCGCAGTTAAAAGAAGATAGTTCTTGCATGTGTAATGACACTGTGGCAACCTAGCTTTCGGATATAAGGAAAGCCAAGCGGATGTACTACGCAAACCAAAGACGTTTCCGTCTTAAGAACTGAGACAACTAGCTACAAAGTATTGCTATTGGGAAATGATTTCTTTTTTCAGAATGGACAGTATATGAATCCCTAATTCAAACGGGTCTCTCTCTGAGACTCACGTATTATTTATTTTCCTGTGGATCGAAGTTTTTAATTGGAGGAATGAACACGAAAAATCGGTGTTTAACGTCTCAATGTTTAACGACGCCTTACTTACCACTACCAACCACCAGGCAGTGCTAACCGATCTATTGCGTCTTCTCTACTCCCGAATCTCTCGGCTCGCTTAGACAGAGGTCTACAGATGCGTTATAACGAAAGAACGAATATTACGCCAGCAGTTTTAAATTAACGACACGAACAATGGAGGATCGATACGCGCGCTTACGAGCTTATATTGTCACGTGACCTCGTGAGCGGTTAAATTAGCCTCAAACATGGACAGTCACGGCATTAAACTGTCCGGAATAAAAACTACGAACGACAATCTGCAGGACCTGAAGACGGAAGCAGAATTCAGCTTCCGAAACGTTTTAATATTATTATTTTGAAATTTATACGATGGACAAACTCCACAAGAATTATGCAATAAAAAATTAAGTACGATCGTCAGAAACTCTGGGACTTCGACTATGAACAACATTTTTTTCAGGAAACATTTTAATATTATCTTCCCTTCATGATTATCTCATGTCTGACATACGTGCCACATGTTCTGCCAATCTCATCCACCTTGATCTGACGACGCAGACAACACTTGGTAACTCATTACGAATTTTTCTTCAGACACTCTTGGCATCCAAATATTCTCCTCAGTAAGCTTTTTTTTTAAATAAATGGACACTAAGTTATTCCATCGGCGTGAAAACAGAGAATAATTCCCTGTTGGTCCACTCACCTTTGTGGACTGCCATGTTGATGAACTTGCTTGCAGTCTTGGCAGCGTTGAGGGCCCCCGACACCACTGCGTCAGGTTCCCCCACGAACGTGTAGACGGTCCTGTTGGTAGACGCCCCAGCATCGACATCCAACAGGATACATCCCGCAGTGTCGCGGATGGACCCTGCGATCTCGTCAATAATCTACAGACAGTGAGAATTCGTGACATCAGAATAGTCTCAGAGGTTGGTACCTCTGAGAAAATGGCGTCTGTCCTCTGTCTACCCAACAGTCATTTCGGTTATTGACGTTTTGGGTTACCAGACTGCCTTCTTCAGTGTTTCCAATAAAACCTCAAGTGTAAATCTGAGGTGGCTGTTCTTGGCGGTCATTTCACTCAGCTCCATCTCATCCTGGGGTTAAGAACGTTTGGAGCACGCCCACTAAACATCTTCATGGCTTGAAGATATTTGCTTTTATCTCTTCAATAACGAGCAGATATTTAAATTACTCAACCCGTCTTAAACTTAACAGGGCGATATTTATTATTTTAATTAAGGTGTTATTTAAACGTAATTATTTATAAATTATTTTATTTGTTAGTGAATTATATTTCGGTTTTTTTAATATTTATTTCCGCTGAATTTATTTTGAATAGTGATGATTGGGGTTATAATTATTTATAATTCTGAATATTTATTCCGATATCATTTCAATTATTCCGTTTAACCTGTAAGGAGTTCACGTGGCGTTAAGACGTCCATGAATATTAATTGGTAGAGATGACCTGTTTTGAATATATTATCCAGGAATGCGTATCAGAATTGTAAAATAACAACACAGTAATTAATTCAGGTGTACAAGATTGCCATCTTAGTTTGATAATGATTACTAATAAACCACTGTATCTGATCACAAGCTGTTTTGAGGTTATAAGACAAATTTTGCATAGGACGGACATGAAATATCTGATACATTCAGAAATGTATTAGTCCTTTAAAAAGCGTTTTAAGAACTGCGTCTTATAAAACATATACCTGATTGTTTGTTTTGCGTTAAGTAATGTGTAGACATTCTCATAAGCTGTTCTATGAACAATAAGACAGCTACTGAGTGGACTGATATTGATGAATGTGGCCTGGTATGAATCCTAGACAGACTTCCCTCACTAAGAATTTGTTTTTCCTCTGGCACCTCAGATGATTCAGAGATAATACCTTAAAATATACATCTCGTAGTATCATGAACGCACTTGTCGAATCACACTCTCGTCAAATTTTTTTTTCATCCAGTTTTGCCAACCACGGAATTTGGTTTCATGTATTCGCCGCTCTCGACCTATTCGGGAGGATATCGACAGGTTTTGTTTTGTGTAATTACTGATAAGGTCGCGTCAGCCATGTTTATTGTTCTTATCTAAATGGGATAGATTCGCACACTGTGCAGCCCAGTTCACAGCTTCACAACGCACAGAATGCAATTTATTTATTGCCCAAACATCAATTTCAATTTGTCCCTTCAGTCAACTCCAACTTTTCTCTACGAGACTTTGCAGTCAAAATGTGCATCTCTTCATAGCTCAACATCTTTGGTAACCACCGACTACGCGGGAACATGAGGGGGAGAGGAATAAATCATTCGTCATACTGTCGACACTAAAAGGGCTCCAGATGAGATCGAGATTCGATTTCTAGCAAAAGTGTTGTGTTTGCACCTTTCTTCCTGTGTACAGAACTTTTTAAAACACACAACGCGGCAAACCGTACCGCTGACAGAATTCTGTGCCTGCACAAGCTCGCCCACAATAGGTCGTCAAATCTTACCTTTTGGTCCCGGCCCTCTGAGAAATTCGGAACGCACTCCACGATCCGGTGCATTATGTACAGTAGCACTAAAATATAAGGCGAAACACGGAGTCGAAGTCTGTGTTTTAAGCGAAAACAACAGCAAACTAGGATTCACAATTAATGATTGCACCTAAATTATTGCCAGACATAGAAACCTGTAGCTACGTAGCTCCAATGACATTCGATGGCAACACACCTCCCATTATATTGTGCTGACACCTATTGAGCATTAGTAGACAAAAAGCGATCGATGCAGTAGCCCAGTCGGTAAGAATGATAACTATTCTTCAACCTTCAAAAAATATCAGTCACATAACAAAAACAATTTCTTGAATAGCAGCCATGATAACCAAAAAGTCATGTGCCAAACAAATCAACAGTATCTTATCTGGCAAAATGTTTCCATGACATATGAACTCTTTACTGGGATGTAACAAATATGAAGAATAGGGTTAATGCATGCATTGCTGAACACTGCAGACATTTCCAACATTTGATACAACATTGTTTTTTCGTTTCTATGTGATTCATTTTTTCACGAATATGGCATGTGTCTGGAATATGTTGCACGAAGAAAAACCTACTGAGACATAATTATGCAGTTTAATAAATTTATTAAATTGGTGATTATCAGAATATCAAAAAAAACTCTACTTAATATTTAAAAATAATTTAGCTGCAGATGTTTGCCAGAATACTGTATAGAATGCCTAGGCAACGTATTATATGATAAATCTTTCACAATCATGCAGCGAAAATAAACTATAATAATATTCTAAGAGGCATTAATAACTTTAAGAAAAGGCCAATTTGGTAAAGGATGATAATGGCAATTTGCTTGCAGATACAATAAAAATTGTGAATAGGTGGAAAAATTTCTTTATCCAACTCTTAAATGTTCATGAGACTGGTGATATTAGACAGATTAAAATGCATACAGCTGAACTGTTGGTGCCAGAACCTAGCTTAGATGAAGTGGAACTAGCCATTGGGAAGTTGAAAAGTTATAAATCTCCAGGAATTGATCAGATTCCGGCCGAATTAATTAAAGCAGGTGGCAAAGGGTTGCATAGGAGGATCCATAAGCTTATTCAGTTAATTTGGGATAAGGAAGAGATGCCACATCAATGGAAGGAATCCATAATTATTCCTATTTATAAGAAGGGGGACAAGACTGAGTGGGGTAATTACCGAGGAATATCGCTGCTATCAACCCCATACAAAATTCTATCCTACATTCTTTTGGCAAGATTAACCCCATATGCGAATGAAACTATTGGGGATCATCAGTGTGGGTTCAGACGAAACAGATCAACGATTGATCAGATCTTTTGCATTCGTCAGATACTAGAGAAAAAATGGGAGTTCGGTGGGACTGTACATCAGTTATTTATAGATTTCAAAAAAGCCTATGACTCTGTGAAGAGAGAAGTGCTATATAATATTCTTATTGAATTTGGTATACCAAAGAAGCTAGTGGGTCTAATAAAAATGTGCTTAAATGAAACCTGCAGCAAAATTCGAGTAGGTAAATATGTATCTGAGACATTCCTCATCAAGAACGGTCTAAAACAAGGAGATGCTTTGTCTCCCTTGCTCTTTAACTTTGCGCTAGAATACGCCATCAGGAAGGTCCAAGGTAGGCAGGAGGGTTTGCAATTGAACGGGACACATCAGCTATTGGCATATGCTGATGATGTTAATTTATTGGGGGACGATATAAATACAATAAAGAGGAACGCAGAAGTTTTACTAGAGGCTGGTAGACAAGTGGGGCTGGAAGTAAATTCAGAAAAAACTAAGTACATGTTAGTATCTCGTCATCAGAAGACAGGCGGGCAAAATTATCTTAGGGTAGCTAATAAATCCTTTGCTTTGGTTAATTCGGTGATGAATCTTCGGGTTCGGTAAGCCATCTTCTTAGTTAGTTATGAGGTAGCATGACGGTTGATGAAGGCGCACTCTAAAATATTTATATTCTATTTTAGCTTATATTTACCAAATATTTAGTTGTAATTTTAATGTATAACAGGAATTAATTTTGACATTTTACTATTTTTGGGATGATACATTGTAACATGTAAGGTTGAAACAACACTGTCACTGACGACAATTCCATCGGACTGAAATGCATCTGGCGTAATACACGCAAATAAATGCTAGCGGTTCGAAAATTTTGTTATGGCTTTCATAACGTCCCTGATATCCTGAAGTATACTTAGATATTTTACAGCATTGAATGACATCTTCTTCTAGCAACATTTCCATTTATACAAGCTGATGTACGAAATTTTACACTTTTCCGATAACAAATATATGAAATGCAGATTTGCGATAATTTGCATTTCTCTCTTGCTTTTATACCGTTATATAATTAGAGGAGTTTCAGCTTCGAAGGAACAAAAATCATGTGTAAAGTGAGTACAGGGATAACGAAATTAAACAAAGAAACTGTGTAAATGGATTTTTAAGATACAGAGTAAATAATTACTCTTAGAATATATCTCAATTTATTTCATATTAGCAGTATTATCAGAATAATTCCATGAAACAACTACAGTCTTAGTTATACACTAATCATCGCCTTTCTGTACGCACTCTGGGCCTGGAAGAAATTCCCCAGCTCATAGATCGTGAATAACTTGAATTTCCACGGTACCCATGCGAATGACAATTAGTTTCCCTCCATTCACGTTCCAAGCGAACATAGATTCCACCTGCAAACAGGAGACTTTAACAAGTACAGTGTCAATTTGCATAATTAACTGATATAATATTTCAAAAAAGTCATCATACCTTGTGGTATGATGTGACTATTCCAGATTGAGTGGCCGTGGTAGCCATGATGTCCGTGCGAATGGCTGTGCATTCGAGTATAAAGGTTTGATGAATCTTCACACGTTCTTCGTGCGAGAAATGTTGCCATCTTACGAGCAGCGTATTCTTCATACTCTCTTTGGATGTCCTGGTTACTGCGGACAGACATTTTTGGATCCCACTGGCAACTCGCTTCTCTAGTGAAGAAATGGCACAAATGAGTCGTGTCATTCAAACATTGTTTCTAAATGATATGACGTGATATATTATAAACAGATGCAACCATCCTTCCACACTCTCTTTGCCACGGTGTTTGTTTTGTTGTGGTCACAGGTCAAACCCAGTGACGTGCCAGGCGCTCATATGGTTGCTGCTTTGACACTTGTTATGCGTGCTGAAGGGAATTTTGGGTAATTTGACAGTGGGCGGGGATTTAGGTCGGGGAGCATGTAACTCTACTTCCCAGGGAATATACAGGGGGGAAGACAAGGGTAGGGTTGATGCTTTATATGAGGTGAGCAGTCCCGAATATCAATAACGCCACTGGTGAGCCGGAAGTTGTCAACTTTATAGTCGCTTAAGACAATAGAGACCAATTACAGTTACACTGGTTAGTGAGTTGAATCGGCTGTTGTAGGACGAATTTAATGTAAGAGGAGCACAATCTGAACAACCTGTATATCAAAAAAACTTGGGAGCTTGCGAGAGGTTGAGAGATATTGAGAGAGAGCCCCGCAACCAGTCGCTCTTTAAATAATACTAAAGTAAAGTAAAGTTTGTCCCACTATACGCCATGTAGGCGCTTGGGGTGAGTGGAGGTATAGCTCCTCTCTTCCTTGACCTCGGCACTAGATGGGGGTGAGTGGTCAGCATCACGCCCCGGCCGGCTTTACCCCCGGGAAAGGACCCCGGTACCCATTGTAGAGGAGGCTGGGTGGGCCCCAGAGCCGGTCTGGACACAGAGGCTAGAGGAAAAATCCTCTGCCCCCATCGGGGATCGAACCCCGGTCGTCCAGCCCGTAGCTAGTCACTAAACTGACTGAGCTATCCCGGCTCATCTTTAAATACTACTGCATTACGTAATTTGTTATTGAATTTGAATTCGATGCGGCGATTTGATTCGTTCCTGAACAGCAGCGGGAACCCGCCCACAAGCCGTATTCAATTTCAATTGGTCTGTCGCAGTAAGGCGAACTTCTTGTAACTCAGTACTTTGACTGACCATCCCAATATTTCACACCAAGGAAGTCAGTCAAGTATTAATTCTATTGCTTCGATTTTCGACTGAAGTTGAACAAGAATCCATTACTGTATAGTATGATATTTGACTTTAGTCCCCATCAAGAAATAAACTTTTCCTTTTGCTGTGTCATTCTTATGAAAACACATTTTTGTTGGTCTGCACAATGCTACCACCTAGAGTGAATCATATGAAGTTGTAAAAAAATGTTGTTATATTATATTTAAAAAGAGCATTGAAAATTATTCATATTTTCACTGCCATAGAAACCTCAAATCCTACCTGGGAAGTGTTTTTTGTTCTTCTCGGTCAGACAAGTGGTGAGAAAATAACATTTAACAAAAGAGTTACTCAAATTTATACAAAAGCCGGTTTAGGTGACGCAACATTACATGAACTGACCACCAGAAGTGACCTCATGTATCGAGTCCACACAATCGGGGGAGTTCTTTTTTTACTTGCATTTAGATCAGCTCATCAACCCACAACAAATAAACTTACAAAATAAATGTTTCAGGTCAAATGTTTACATTTTGAAGCAAGTCGATGCTTCCATCACACGGTGTCTCAACAGACTGAGGTCTAGCTGCTTACCAACAGACCTTCTTTGCGCTGACTGGTCACTCACTAACTAACTAACCAGATGGCTTACCAAACCCGAAGGTTCATCACCGAATTAACCAAAGCCCTCCACAGGACCCTGTCCTGGGCCAACAAAATCCAGCCTCCTTCAACTCCTATCTCCCATAGATCCCGCCTGAGATTATCCTCCCATCTACGTCTAG